TTGCACTGCCAGGATCCGTGACTGCAAAACAAGGCAAACTGCCTGGGATCCCTGGCAGAGACAGACAGACTGCAGGCCATTTGTTTTCCCTGCCTGTCCTTCTGCCTGCTGACAGGTGAGCTGGTACAGAGAGGGCCTGTGAGACACAGCACACTGAAGCTGCCTTGAAACATCTTGCAAACAGCAATTCATTCGACCTTCTTAAGGGACAGAAGAGTTGAAAATTAATTTTCACCTGTAACCAGCACTTAGGAACAACATTTTCTAAATCTCCAACCTGAACAGCCTCAGTGTCTCCAGGATATGGGCACAGGGGGCTCACCTTAAATCCTGTCTCTGCTCTGGATGGCAGAGCAGCACAGGGAATTTGGAGGAATGAAGAATCATTATTTCAGACATGGAGTTTGAGGCACATGCGGCAGTTTTGTAAACTTGCAGAGAAGCGTATTTAGGGGCTCACACTGGCTTTGCTTGTGGAGAGAAAAGAACTGCAAAGAGCTACCCAGGGAACCATCCAACTGCGCAGCCTGAACTCACCCCAGTTTTATGGAGGGACAGGCAAGATGCAGACACCCATTCCAGTGCAGACATTAGGGCCTCAGCAGCTCAGCTGCAGCTGAGTTTCATGGGACAGCTAACTAAAGACACCAGGGTCTGCACAATGTTGGCAGGGAGCAGTCTGAGACCCGCACAGCCAAAGTCATCCTGCTGCATTCAGCGTTATTACCAGCAGCCAAGTGGTGTGTCAGCTTGGGGGGGTTATTTCACAGTGGACTGGTTTTTGACAGAGAAGGACAGTTTCATAAGAGTGAGCACTCAGGCTCTTCGTGCAGTAGGAGCATACCAGCGGCGTGTGGGTCCCACCACGCACCCATCACAGGGTCCGCAGCTGCATGGGTGCAGGCAGGGCTGCCGGGAATTTTCTAAAACACGGAGTGTAATCAGGACCATGAGAAAGCTCAGTGACTAAAAAGGGGCCAGTGTGTGCCCGTAGCCTGGTGGAAAACAGCTATTTGGCAAACCCTGCAGCCCTACTCCTTGCCACTACATTTCCATCACCAAACAGTGTCATCTCCCTCTGTGCTCAGGCTCGTTTGTCAGCTCTAACAGTTAACCCTGCACACCCGCAAATGTGCGACTTTGGGTCAGCTGTACTTCTTGCTCCTTGTTCACTGCTGCAAAGACTGAACATGACTGCCTCAGCAGTGCCCTCTGACCATCAGCGTGGTCTTCCCTACCATTCCTTAGCCTATGCAGCAGAAGACAAGGCTGATCAAGCACTTAATAGATTCCCTAATAACCTGTATGCTGGAATTATCCTCACAGACTGAGCTTGCAGACACGACAGCAGGGACCAGGGTTTCCCAACACTGCAAAGGCTGCCTTGGGGCAGAGCTGGTTTATCCTGCTTCCCTTGTGCTCCTGTCCACTCACTCTCTGGGGGATACAGCTGTGTCCCAGGCTGGGCAGGCTGATGTAAAACGAGAAGCAGGAGCGTTTAGTGTACCTGAATGCCTCCTGACTGCCTCTCTTGAGAGGTCATTCCTTTGAATTCAGGGCTGCAATGATCTCAGAAGCTTGCTCACCCAAAAGGGTACCTACAGACACAGTTACTTTGTGATCACTGATGAACCCTGCATGTGCCATCTTGTTCCCATACAGCAGCTGTGCCTTGCTTGTCTTACACCATAGGAGCACAAGCTGGGACAAAGTTTGAAAGTCTCCTCTGCAGCATGTCAGTCTTGGCAGATGCTTATCTTAACTGGTTTTGACAGACACCCTGCGCGCTGCCCAGGCAAGCTACTCTAGGAATTTGCTAAGAGTTCTTCTTAATTGCATCTTCCATTTAGAAACTTCATTTAATTACTTTTTGTCCAACCCACCATGGACACTCACAGCAGACTTTTCCTTTCCACCTTACAACAGCCTTTAGTGTATACATAAACCATTACCACATTTCCTCTCCATCTCTTCTCCTTCATGGTAAGAATCAGTTCATAGATCTTTATAGGTCCTGTTTTCTAAGAGTTCTGATTATGTCCAGAAATCTTAGGCATGCACACAATTTCTCAGCTCCAACACTGATGAATAGACAAGGTGAATGCGACACGGAAAACTTAGACATCGAAAAGCCTTACCAAAACCTCACAAAAATCTAGCTACAGCCTATGTTAGGGTGCAGGACAGCAGAGTACAGTGGTAGTGGTCAGTCAACAGTAACATTGGTACAAGTGTAACAGGGAGGGGACTATATATACACGTTAGAAAATCCTTCTGAGTTTGAAAGTCCTTATTTAAAACACAGGATGCCAAAACTCAGTGACTTGGTAATACCAACATCAGAAAGCAACCGTTGCCTTGGCTAACAATGCAGCTCACACTCCACCTCAAGTTTTGAATGAAAACTCTACTGGACACAAACACATGACCGAAAGACTGCTTTAGACATTTTTTTCCCTTTAAATCTGCTTTTGTTATAGATTCTTGATTTCGGAGAACAGAGCACACAACTTTTCTGGTAACTCCCTGCTGAAGACAAATCACAACATTATTTGCAGCAAGTTTTAACCAGGTAAAAGGCACAGCATAGTATCAAAATACCGTACTGGGGGACAAACAAATGATCTTAATTCTTTGATTTCACATAGTATAATGATATCTTAGTGACAAATAAGAAGCCAAAGCAAAGCAACCTATCCCTGTGAAGCTGTACAGAATACACACATCACCACGATCACCACAGATTAGTTGAAGCATAAGTAAAGCTCTTCCAAAATAATGAGCAATTCAGGGTGCCAGTCTGAGATCTGTTTAAACTACAGATTTCAGCTTCAGGTCTGAGAGCTGTTTATCTGCTGCCTTCTCCCAAGGCATTATGAAAGGCTGTTAAGAAACACATGTGAAATAACACAAACACCAGTGGAATTATTTAAAGGGCTTTGCACCTTTTAGAAAAGGTGCACTTAAGGAAACTTTAAGGAACCACAGATTGAAGCTAGGTGAAAAACCTCTCTCAGAGTCTGGATTTTTAGAAGATTCAATATTAGATACCCTTTGAGATGCTTCAAGTGAAATGTGTAAATATTGTCATTAAAACACTCTCAAACCACTAACGCCTCTGAAACAGAAAAGCCACAATATTGCAAATAAATAATATCAAGTATATCCAAAAAGTCCACTAACAATCAGTCCTTTCACTCTCCCAGTTAGCTGGCCAGCACTTGCAAAGCAAAAGAAAGTTGTTGTGATATCATTTGAGCCCCATGCCTTGGTTTCTCCCTGAGTCCCAGGCACTCGGTGACACCCGATGTTTGCTGTACTCACACTACTCCAGCAGATGAGATGGTTTGTTTCAGGATCTTCCACCAGCGTCCACAGTTTGGTTAGGAAGGCTGGCACATTGCTGGAGTATCCATCCATCACCAGAGAGCTGGGTGAATCCTGCATAGTTTTTCAGTGCCCCTGCTATGCTAACCCCATTGCTCTCGGCATGCCTGCCTCCCTGCACGCGTGTGCGTCCGACAGAGAATGAACCACTGAATTTTATCCCAGGCCAGTGGAAAGTAGGCTCCCAGGGAGTCACATCAGCAGTGCTGCTTGCACTCTTAAAAACTCAGCACAATGTGATGGCATCACCAGCCCCAGAGAACAATACACAGAATGAAAATGCACTGCAGCCGATCTCACTGAGCTGTGAATAAATGCGCAGCGTCATGCAAAGGGAACACGTGCTGCGCACCTTATGCTGGGAGGTTAGCAAGTCACTGGAGTGAACCCACCTGCAGAGAGTCCGTGGGACACCCAGGCACAGCAATGCCAGGTTTGTGAAGGCTCCTGAGTAATTGTTTTGGAATTTTCTTGACCTAAACGTTGTGGCACAGATGATCCTATGTTATTTGTCAAGAGAAATTATTTGGCTCATGGATGAGAAGAAAGGGTGATAAAAACAGCTACACATAGAGTCTAGATGACAATATGCTTTTATTATTATTATCATTATTATGACTGCAAATGCTTTAGATAGCTCTAAATAGGTGCTCGCAGTGCAGCTTTATGCCAGGATTTCAACTCAGAAACTGGTCCTCAAATAACATTCACCAAAATCTTTGGCACAACAAACCAACACACATATATCCTAATTCAGATGCAAGGTAACTCACTTGTAAATGCAGGTATCAGGCACAAAAACTGTTAACACTCTTGCTTCTCCTAAGAAACACTAGTAATGAGTTGAAAGCAAAGGCATTCAAATGATAACCTCGAAATCTGCATTCCTGAGCAAGAGAAAGACATGATGGACAAGGGAATTTGCAGGCCATTGCCTTGCCAATGTTTTTCTTTGCGTGCTTTTTTCTCCTGCTTGTACTTTCTAACATAACTCAGCTCCTGTTATACCCTTCCAAACTGGAAGTTACCTGACAACTGGATAACGGGTGAGCTCACCATCACTGAAATGCTGTAAAAGGAATTATCGAAGTTAGGGTGGATTTCCCATCAGATGACCACAGCTCATTGCTGTAGCTCACTGGAAGTACCCCCCTGGGCAGAAAATGGCTGCATTGAAGCAGCCACTTCCTTAACTGCCTGTTTAAGTACTTGGCACTTGGACACCTGGCACAATGTGCTTGACCTTGAGATTCTTTTAAAATGTAAAATCAAAATTCAGTTTGGCTGAGGTCCTCAGTAAAAACCCACAAATTTTCTGCTAAATAAGAAGCAGAGAAGAAAAAAAGACCTGCCCTACATAACCTCACAGAGAAAATAAAAGCAGGGGGAAGCAATTCTATTTCTCTGTATAATCCTTTCTCCATCAGGTTTGAGTGCAAATGCTTGGTCTGCAGAACAGGTGTGCATCATATGTAACAGCCAGTACTGGTGAAACAGCACGTTCTCAGTGAGCGCAGAGGGCATTCTGCAGCATTTTCCTTATAGCCCTAAATCTTCTTTGCCTGTCCTCTTGCAGATGCCCACTATTTCCCCAGGAAGGCAGTAGGAGCCACTCACTGAACTGTTACTGGTTTCCAGGGGTGCCGTTCCTTGGTGACCTTCAGAGTGTACTGTTTCAGACTGGCGCAGTGTGTGAGGAACGCTTCTACCACCTCCTGGCTGACCACACAGTAGCAGTGCACCTCCAGCAGATTTCTGCACTGCCTAGCCAGATCTACGAGCGAGGAATTTAAGTCCTCCGAGGACGTGGTTTGCAGCGTCAGCTTCTTTAAAGTACTGCTGTAGCTCTGAGTGACAAACCTAATCTGATCTACCATGTAATTATAGGTGTTAAGTTGCAGTGTGCTCACAGGTATATTCAGCTTTAGGATCCGTGGTATTTTGCTGGCAGGGACCGTATGATCAAACTCTAGGTCTACACAGAGTTGAGGATGCTTTTGACTTACATCCGAGATAACTGGTATATATTTGTCCAGGCGCTCACAGAAAATGTCTAAATGGGTGAAAGCTGCTCTTTCGGGCTGGAGGAGTTCCTGAAACACATCGTCAGACAAACTGGCATAATAAACCCCCAAGGCTGAGAGTTTGGGACATGCTCTGAGAACTTTCCTAATGGTTTCTGGTGCCACGTTGCATACCAAGGTGCGGTTGTTGATGAACAAACTGTGCAAGTTTGGGTTGGCGGTAGCTAAGAGTTCAACAAGCTCATCATCGAGAGTGAAGGGCATTTTTCGAAAATCAATATGCTGAAGATTTATCTGATTTTCAGTGTCACATATATTCCGTATACTCTGTAGGATGTCCTGGCCAGAGTAGAAATAGGGGTTCTCCCCATGGCACACAATGCACAGCTGCTGCAGTTTGTGGTTCTGTTTCGCCAACACATCCAAGATGCGTGTCACATTCTTCCGGTTGACCTCCTTGGACTGGTCAAACACAATCTTCAGGTGTTTGATTTGGCTGAGGAACTGGAGCAGGCTCTGCAGCATACCTTCCTCATCCTCTGAATCACAGCTGGAAGGTTAAAACAAACTCTTAGTCACGGTGAACACAGAGCTGAGCAAGCACAAAGCAAGTACACTCCTTTCTAGTGTTTCTGCAAACATCAACAGGTACCCTAGCTGCTGCTTCTCACTTGATGCCTGGAGAGTCACTGTAAGGCCAAATGCTGAAGGAGTCCGGAGGTGAGAGGAGTCAGTCCCCAAAAAGGCCCATCAGAGAAGTAAGCGTCACGATGAAGATGGTTAGTAACTGTCTCTTGCCATTTTCAAATGGCAACTTAGAGCAACGTACCTAAGAATGTAATAGTTCCTGTAGAACCAAATCAGCAGCAGCAATTAAAGAAACCCAGCATATAACACAGTTTTCCCTGTTACCTAAAAACGTGCTAGTCATGTAAGATAATATCATCACACACAGAAGTCATATTTAACATCAATAATGTCAAAGTAGGGTGGTGCAAATGTTTGACAGGCACTGAAAACATAATGATCTAGTTATGCCTGTAGAGATGCTCAGACATAAGAAATCCATTCCTCTTACCTGATCTCTGTGAAGTGCCAAACAGAGCTAGAAGAAACGGCTGTAGCCCATTGTCTGCACACCTGGAAGACTGTGTATCTGTCTCGAAGAGAAAGATAGTAGAAAATCTGGATGAGGATTTCTTCAGGGATGTACTTCCATAATTCTGGAACTGGAGCAAGCATTTTGCTGATTCAGTCAGGTTTAAAAATGGGAAAAACTTCCGAAACTGCAATTAATTCTCAAAAGTCCCTGTTCAGGAAGAGAAAAAAAAAAAAAAAAAAAAAAAAAAAAAAGGAGAGACACACACATTGGGGTTTATTTAACAAATCAAACCAATGCAACTGGATCACAAGGAGGTCAACATTTTTTTCAAACTTGAAATTTCAACAAATTTTGAAATTGAACACAAAAATGAGGAAAATTTGTTGGCCAATTGTTTTGCATAGTTTGGTCTATCAATCCTAAGAGGCTGGGTGATACTTTTCAAGAGTTCAAGATGTCAGATAAAAGCTCTGGGGAAAAAAATTTTAAAAGTCTTTTTTCCTGCAGTGAGGTTTTGCTACTCTGAGTAATAAAAATGCAAGGGAATTTTCTAGTACTGCTGCACTGGTATTCAAAAAGCTGAGACAGATTTCTCAAACTGTGGGGGAAAGAAAACCTCTTTGCAAGCAGAAGCTCTGCACAGAAAACAGCCTCACATATCCATTTTTGACTGATAGTGAAACAGAAGGCCTAGAGTAGAAACTGTTAATTACAGTGGTCCTTGCCTGGGAGAAGATGTGACAGTTTGAAAAAAATGTTTGATTACTGTGCCTCCAGTTCTCAGACCTTGCATTTATACATGTCTGACTTAGACACGGAAGAGCATATTTTGATTAACCATTTACACGAGCTACAAAGCAAAAGAGTAAATGGCTGGGAAGAAGGCAGATGTTCATAGCATCAGACAGTTATCTAACTATTCATCACCTTCCAAAATGTGTTGTACCCATCTTGTAGATTTCTACACAAATAAAACTACCTACATGACATATTTTTTCAACCCTCTCATAAACAAGGGAAGGACTTTTAAATGCAAACATTCCCCTTCCTAGGCTAGCACTGGAGCATGGGACAAGTTTTGCTATCTTCACTCTGAATTTCATGGTGTGCCCTCTTGCTTCTGAAGGTCCTGGAGTCACAGGGTTATCTCAGCATCACGGGTTTAATTTCAATGAAAAGCTGCATTTCTAGATATCCTTGAGTTGAAAAACATGAAGCAACTACAGAGTAGTGATGCAAAAAGCATAACGCAGAGAGGAACACAATTGCACATTTGTCTAGAATATGCTGCTTTCAAGTGTGACTCATTATGAGTGCGAGGCAGCAGTAGCATAGCAGCTATCCTATCTTATCTACTATCGTGTCAGTGACAACCCCCTTTCCACCCACCACCGAGCTACAACGGCCAAGTGATACAGTCCTGCTTCCTTCCTAGGAACTCAGCACCTTTTGTCATTTTCTCTGACAATCACCTTGACAGCTCAGACCCTGCTCTTCTGCTTTCAGCTGCTTTTAATCCTGTCTGTAATACACGTCTGCCAAAATGTTAAACTGTTCCTTGCCCTCCATGAAATCTCATGGGTCCAGCTCCTCCCATTTTCACGACTATATTTTTCCTTAAAGCCTGACCCCTTGGAGTCACATGAAAAGGATCTTGAATCTCTTAAAAAGTCAGAGTGCATTTCTAGGCGTGGTGATTGTTTGGGAAAGCTTAAAAATACGGCCTGAGAACAGGAAGGCAGGCAGAAGGGCAAAATTATCACTGTTACGTCAAGTAACTGAACGGCTGTGAGTCAGCGAGGAGTGCGGTTCATGGTCTGTGAACGCTGCGGGTTGGCTTGGGTCCACCTTGGGTGCCGGCCCCGGTGAGAACTGCTGGGTTTGGACTGGATCTTGCGAGCCATCAAGGATCTCTGTGCTTTATTAACCACATGGCGGAGGGGTGCTGCCGGCTGCTGTGCCGAGCTTTGTCAGCTCCCAGCACAGCAGGCCCCAAGGAAGCCAGGCAGACGCTGGCTGGGAGCGCGCCGCCAGCAGCCCGAACAGGAACAGGCGGTGCTGCGCTCCGGCGAGATGCCCAGCGCGCCCGGGGCCTGGTCGCCTCACTCCCTGAGAGCCCAGCAGCATGGGGAAGCCCCCCACCACGGCATCCCCTCCAGCCCCACACAGGCCCCAGCAGGCAGCCTGGGAAGGG